CTTGATAGGTAGTAGAAGCACAGAAAACTAGGGGTCACCCCATGTGTGCCTAAATAAAGACCTCGAAACCTCAGCATTGCTCCCCAAAATCTTTTCTTCTTCTCCGCATTTATTGCACATCAGCGATAAAGAAAAGAAATCTAAACACTTGTAACTAAACTGTTCTAAATACAAACTAACAAACAACCAAAAACCAATAAACTAGCACCTATTTCCCTGCAACTAGTATGCAGGGAAGAAAAAAGAAAAAACCTCCCAGTAGCATGACGCTATACCAAAGAAAACTTCAAGAAGAGGAGAGAAGCTCTATTGAAGTTGATGAGTTTTTCTCCAAGTCCAGTGGAGAAGCTCTAAAGGTAAGTAAACAGTGTGAATCTGAAACATGTAACAAAGCTGCTGTTTGCACCGTATACACTAGAGACCCAGAGGAATTCCTGAACAACCTGGAGGGAGAAAAAGGCTCCCCTTATCGAGCATGCACTCTGCATGCTGAAGCCAGCAAGTTTGATGGAATGACTATTCTCAACAGGATTACAGAAATAGTCTCTGATGAAGAAGAAGGAAACGAAGTACCTAAACCATCAGAAAACACCACACATCAACAACCTACCACCACCAAAACACAGGAAGTTGAAGTAAGAATCTCCCCGATGGGTTCACCTGAACTTCAGGCACTCCTTAACAGAAAAGAAGGCTCAACCCCTCTTGACCCCATCCAATCTACTGCCTCCCTGACATCTTCATTGGTCTATACGTGCGAAATTGAAGGATGCTCCAACACTGCAAACTATGAAGCTAGAATTGAAAACAAAAATGGCCTTGCAACTGCTAGAGTATGTGTTGAGCATGCAACCGACAATATTGAAGGCAATGAAACCAAAAGCCTGACCCTGACAAATACTGAAAATATGTCAGCATATTCGATGTCATCAATCAGTCTCAGTGACAATGAGGACAACGACAAAGTAAAACACATTGTTAACAAGGTCCTCAATACTAAAGGCAAACCTTCCTACCAAACTAAAGGTCAAAAAAGAAACAAAGGTAGAAGAACCTCCAATCCAACCCAAAAACAAGCTGTGTCCTTCGACATCAACAGTGATGAAGACTTCCCTTCACTACCTGGGCAAAGGACATCAACAAAAACCTCCTCTCAGAATGTCGGTGTAACCAAAGAAAATGTGGGGGATAGTGGAATACCTGAAAAAAATGATCAACAAAAATGCACAATCCAAAACAGGAATAGCACCACCCAAAGGTGACACCAGGAAGGGCCCATCACCAAAAAGGGCAAGAACAAACAAACAGCCCAGCAACCCGGTAACAATGAACATAGACAGCTCAAGCGAAGATGAAGTTCCAAGCAGATTCAATAGAGCAATCATCCCAAAAATTGACCACCCTACTCCCTTCCCCAAGAAACCTACCAATGCCAATGCACTTATACTTGCCATTGATGGTGAGCCTGTAGGAGTATCACTAAAATGGGCTCCAATTCATCTACTCAAAGCCGTGGCTGGAAATGACAGTATCACTATGTGGGACCTAAAAAGAGGCAACACAACTATTCCAGCTACACGCACCTTCGAGGAACTCAGGAAAAGAGGTGAAATTGCAGATGGTGATCAACTGCAAATGATCCGAAATACCCCAAAAAAAGTCACAACTGAAGACCCAATGGATTATGACCTTCCTGATAAGAAACTCGAAAGCTCAATCCATGCCCCTAAAATCACAGGTGAAACTGAGAACAAAAGCTCAGATGAGAAGACCCCCAACCTGCTAAAAAAAATTGTTGAAGAAGCCACTGTTGATGCCTTCATGGGAAAGGAAGCCCCATCTTATGCTAAGACAGCAGCACAAAGAACTAACTCAGCCCAAGTAGTTCCCTCCTCTTATCTCAACAAACGAAGATGCGCTATATCTCCAGACATCAAATCTAAGAGACCGGTCCCAAATACTGACCTACCAAATGTTGCTTTCTGGGACATCTCTACCATACAAGCCACCCAGGCACAAATATGGGAAGCAATAGTTGATGCCAAACCTGTTGGTTTCTCACCTAGAGAAAATGCACAGTGGCTGGAACTTGCTTTTGCATCAGTGGATGAAAGAAATGCCCACCTCAGCAAACAGTTTGAAGTAGCAGAGGGGCAATTCATAATCCCACTCCCCCCAAGAAAATGGTCTCCCCAACAGGTATATGTCCGGCTAGCAAATGTACCTCTACTCCCAGAGAAACAACTCAGAGAGTCGATCAAAGATTACTGGAGCCATTTTGGTGAAGTAGGCAGGATAGAACCGCACTATTATAGAGACTCAAAGATCCTTTCACGAAGATGGGACCTGATCCTAACCATTCCTGGTGGAAAATCACTGGCAGCTCCAGTTATCTTCGAGCTACACTCTGTGCGGGTAGCATGCTACTGGGAAGGATCCAAAGCTGTCTGTACAAACTGCAAAAGTGAGGGACACTGGAGCCAGAACTGTACTCCCAGGGACCGGAAGGCAGCAGAACGCAGAGATAAACTGGCCCCAGCACCCCCAATGGTCAGATCAAGACCTCCAGAAAAAGAAAAAGACAAACAAAAGGAGGAAAAGCAACCAGATATTGAAAAATCTGAAGAAGACATAGATGAAGTTGGAGTCCTCATCGACACCTATATAAAGGAACTCTCCTCCCTTCCCCCAGCAGAAATCCCTCCAGCCAAAAAGCCCACCAGGGATACATCGAAAAAGATAGCCCAGCAGCTGACCAAAACATATACCAACTCAGGCTATGCTGCCAAAGGCATCAAACCCATAGCAACTGAATCATCTGAAGAGGATGCCAATAGTATCTTCCAGGAAGTCAAATCAAAAAGGCAACTACAAAAAGAGAGGAGGCAGAAAGCCAAATCCCCTTCTCCTACTCCTCCAACTAATGCCAGAACAAATACACCTCCTCCATCAAATAAGCGCACAGCTGCTCAAGCCACCACCCCCAAAAGAAGGCAGAAAACAAGCAAAATCCCTAAAACTGTTGATCTAAAGTATATGCAGAGCTACAAGGCAACTGGAAAACGGACAACTTGGCATCCTTGGTTAGTTGCAAGCAGAATCTCCAAACTAATGGGATGGTTTTCACAGGAGAACTTAAACTATTTCGCAGCCTACCCATATGTTGCTCAAGATTGGATGGATAAACTCCCCAAAGAAATCTATGACAGAAGTACACAAAGCCTTCGCATGGACAAACAAAGGGGAATCCACATCCCAGAAATCCCTGACCACATGAGCATTCTCGAAAACCACAGCATCACTGCCACCCCCCATGACTCACTCACAATGGCAAATCTCCCACCATCACTCCCTCGAACGATCCAAGTGGAATACAACACTCCCATGGCTCCACCCTACATTCCCTCAGTTATACAAGAACTGCCTGTCCCAAAGGAATCATGGGAGAGACTCACAAAGCATAAAACTGATACCACCCTATATCCCATAAAGGTTGTAATCAAGGCCAACCTAGAGGAGGGTGATAAGGTAAGTGACTTCTCTGTATGTAAAGATGAACTTGCCACAGATTTGAGAGACAGGCTAAGTGCAATCCTTGGAATGGATGTAATACCACACAAGGATGGGAAACCCCTCCACTATGCCACACTCACTGGAGGCTATAATAAGGTCAAGGAGGGAGACGAAATCTCCATTAAGGCCTATGACAAAATTTTCCCCCCTGAGGAAGATGAGAACCTTGGCCCAAAATATACAATTATGATAATCAACCGAACTGGCAAAACTACTAATTCTTTCTCTGAGTCTACATACCATAATGAACATATAGGTAACCTCAAGGAAAGAATTGCTAAGCACATTGAAATCCCGTCCTCAGAATTTACCTTACGGTGGAGAGATGTCCTACTGGATGACAACAAAACCCCTAAGGATTATGAAATGGGTAATGCAAGCCGCATCTACATAAGGCTAACAAATCCCCAAGCTTCCAAACCCACAACAGAGGCACCAGTACAAGCCCAGACAGAAAATGAAGCAAATATGGACTGGGTAACTACTGGAAACACTATTACACTCATTTTTAGGGAAGGAGGCATTGGGGAACAATTTGATATCCCTCTCACCCTTACACCCAGAACAATCTTAAGACGATATGCAACATACAAAAGAAACAGTATGTATGAAACAACATATGCACTCTACAATGACTCATATAAGCTTCCCATGGATGAACAGATTGGTGATCTGGCCCATGACCAATTTATAAGAGAAGGGGACACTCTAGATTTAGCCCCCGACAAACCCCTTGCCATATGAGGATTATAACATGGAATGTTGGTGGAATTGTCTCTGACCAAAGAGACAAAATTAAGAGAATCCTGAGGAAACTAAGAGAAGAAAAGCCTGATCTGGTTATCCTTCAGGAAATTATACGAATCAACAACCCTGATACAGACCCCAACATCAACCAAAAAATCGAAAAACTTAAGGACTATATGGAAATGGTATGGCTTGGTGGAGACATCATTGTGCTGCCGCACATTGCTGTACTATCACCATACAAGCATTCACTTAAGCTGGTGAGCGCACATCTCAAGTCACGTGTTGTGGACTTTACATTCTCACATGTGGCAAGAGGTGACCGCAAAATCCAAATCCCATACTTCACTATGAACTTCAGAGCACTCTATGCCCCAGCCAAAAGCATGGACAAAAGAGCATTCTGGACAAATCAACCCCCCATCTCTCCCCTCTCATGGATTGTTGGAGACTTTAATATCGTACTCGAAGCGAGCGATACCAGTCATGCATCTATGATAAACCACAACTTCAGGATGTATGACCATGTGAAGAAATACCTGGAAGACCTCGAACTTGTGGATACCCATAAGGAATTAAATGGAAAGGATGTGGAGCATACCCACTACAGACCAAATGGTTCATCGAGGATCGACTATATCTTTGCACCTCCAACTCTCCTATCTCCGTATGCAAAAGCTCACGTGATCCCTCCTGGCTCGGAATCGGACCACTGCCTAGTGGTACTGGATAATGGAAGAAGACCTGGAAGACCTAAATGGAGACTCAATGTCGAACATGCCAAAACCCCGGCCATGCACAGCAAGGTAACAGGAACGCTGGAAACAGCAAGTATTACCTGTGCTAACTGGGACATATTCAAACACAAGTGGATGAAAATGTTCAAGGAATATGGCCAACTCCAAAAAAGGAAAAGAGAAGACTCAGTCACCAACCTAACTAACAAGCTGGCAAATCTCCTACGAATGCCCAATCCTAAGCCAAAGTCAGTGTTCATCAAAATAGACAAGGCAAAGGAAGCTCTCAAAAGGGCAGAAGACAAGCTCACTGAGGCACTGAACATCAAGTCTGGCGAAAGCTGGATTGAGCAAGGTGAACGGTCCTCAAAGTATTTCTACAGGAGATACAAAGAACGATTGCAAACAGCACATATCCCCTCCCTGGATGATGGCAATGGTAACATAGCGGTCACAGCAAAGGAAAAGGCAGAAGTGTGCCGCAAACATCTACAGGACCTGTGGAATGACAAGTACACATATAATCCACAGATGTTTCCTTGGCATTGTCCTAAGCTCGCACAGGAACAAGCCAACTATCTAGCCAGCCCAATAACAATGCAAGAGGTGATGGACTCCATACGCTCATCTCCGAGGGGAAAAGCACCTGGCCCAGATGGCCTACCCTCAGAGTTTTATCGTATAATGAAACTGGAACTAGCCCCTCACCTAACCAAGCTATTCAATGAAATACTAAGTGGCAGCAAACCTCCCAACACCTGGAGTGAAGCACACATAGTACAAATCCCAAAGAAGACTGAGAACATCGATCAAATTGGTAATTGGCGCCCAATCACGCTGGAAAACTGTGATCTCAAAATTTTCAGCAGGGTGCTATCTAATCGATTCCAAGGCATACTTGACACAATCATCCATGAGTCACAAACTGGATTTGTCAGAGGACGGCGCATCTTTGAGTCAGCACTGACCATCGATAGTGTACTCCGTGTACAAGATAAGTATGGGTACATGCTGTCCCTTGACTGGTCTAAGGCATATGACAGAGTCAACTTTAGGTGGCTCTCTTTTGCACTGGACAAATTTGGTTTCCCTGGACCCATCATACAGACAATTGAACACCTTTTCTACCAGAGAACTGCAAAGTTAACTGTGGACAATGAAGAGGCTAAAATCAACATCAAACAGGGAGTTCCTCAAGGTGATCCCATTGCACCTTTATTATTCATCATAGCGCTGGAGCCATTAATGGCAGCAGCCAGAGATAAAATAAAGGGGATCACTAACAGTAATGGCACAACACATAATGTAGCCTATGCAGATGACACAACCTTTTTCATCCATGGCTACAATCAAGTGCTAGAACTGGAGAAACTCCTCATCACATACTCAAAAGTATCAGGTGCGGTAGTAAACTGGGAGAAATCGAAACTCACCCCACTCTCAACCATCAAACAACCAACTACATCCTCCT